TTGCTAAAATTGCGAAAAAAATTGGCTGGCAAATTTGTGCGACTGCGTTCAATCCTGGACATATCTCCTAGGTTGGTGAGGTCAACGCAAGAGAGCTCGCCCCAGTTGTTCAAAGGGTGGATAACGCCAACCAATGGATAGCGCAATTGGTTTCCCTATCACTTATCCGCTGGATAGTGATTTATCCAGTGGATAGTGCTATTCAAGGTTTGATCAACTATGGCCAGGGTTTTGGGAGTAGACAATACCAGAAGTTGTAACATTCCTCGTGGTTCTTCTAGCTTAACCAGTTGCAAAAATTCTTGAGACACTGTAACTTCAGTTAGACCATGATCTTGTGCTTGAAACTTCACGAAGTTGCGCGCGTCTCCTCTCGAAACGCCATGATGGCCAAGCTCTTTCGGACAGAAGAACTGCCAATTTTACCACCCCTTCCCCCTCTCTGGTTAAGATCTAAGCATGGTGAATTTTCTTCGTATCGCAGGGAAAGAACTCACAAAGTCTACCAAATCTTTAGTCGCAAACCGCCCTCTGTTGTCTGGAAAACCTTGAATTCAATGCAAGTAACTCATGTGGTTATTGACACGCAGTGGTGCCGGGGGAGACCAAAGTAAGTAGTAGTTCTTCCTCAACAGTTGTAGATATGATTTGCCCATTTTCCGATGCGACTGTAGGTATTTTAATACCTACAGTCCTAAAAACTGAACTCACGTGATTTCAGATGCGTAGCCAGCTTTTCGTCTAATTGTAGGCCCGGCTGACTTTTATTTCCACATATCCTGAAAATTGCACCCATGACTAGTTCACCCCAAGAACGCATAATATATTACAAGCGGTAGTGTGATCAAAAAAATAAATTTGTAGGCCCGGGTCTACAGGTGTATGGGCTGGCTATGCCCCTGGATTTGGAGTACAGTTTGGAATCAAACCGCAAAAAGCATGATTAAATTTTTTTCCAATACCAAAGGGCGAGGTCTTAACAAGTGCTGATATATTCAAAATTACCAAAGGAAAATCGTGTATGTTTTTAGCATTATAAAAACATGTTCTGCCTTGGAAATGCAATTTTCGGGAAATCACTACTAAGGAAGCCAAATGAAAAGAAACCTTGTAAGAACACCATGTCCCTTTTCCGCACTTTTTCTCAAAATGCATTCATCGTAGCTCATTATAGTCGCGAAATTTTTGCATAAATATTTTTAGCTTACAAATTATCCACCCAAAGACTTCTCCGGCATTTCGCTCCATTTTTTACACGCAAGGCTGAGGCTTCAATGGACAGCAGTTTCATACAAATCAATGTGTTAAGTCGCCTGAAGTCTCGAGTAGCTGCCTCTGTTCACGGCCAAACTCGTTCCCAGGGTTCTCTAGAGAGAACCTGGGAACGAGGTTGGTTCACGGTCGGTTCGCCACTTTAGAAACTAGACTTCTGGGATTTTTGCTAGAGACGGGGGGAAACAATTGGCCAATAGCTGACTGACGCGTCCCCAGTAACGATTCCAGAAACAATTGCGGGACGCCTTTCGGTTTCAGTTCACTTCTCCTTTCTTACGTGGCGAATAGGCCATTTCCGAGTTCCCCGGGCCTCTGTATCAAAACGAGGTTAAGTGCTCGACCTTTGATATAGAAATGATTTTTCATATATATGCAAATAAAACACATTTTCACAAGAAAGGTTTTCGCACCTAGCGTCATTTTGAAAGTGGGGGTTTTGGGAACTCGGAAGTGGCCTATTTTTCTCCCCGTATAATTCTGTGTTTGCGACTCTCTGCAGGCCTGGTTGTGGCATGGTTGACATCTGGGACTTAGAAGATGTAGAAAACAGAAACCGACCGAGCTGTTGCAATGCCCTGGAACAGAATCCAACCCCTTTTAAAATGGTGTTCAGCAATGCGAAATACTACGTTTTCCGAATCCATAACAGCTGACAGACTTGTAAAACTTTCAGCGTTGTTCACGTAAATGAATTGTATCTATAAAACGTTATTTAAACAATGACTAGACGCTCCGCATGTTATTGTTATGGTTTTTGTAATTCACGCCTTTTAAAACAGTGCTCAACAAGGATATACGTATTGCGTTTTTAGACCCCTTGAAGGTTTCCTTAAAATGCCTATATTGTATCTCGCAAAACCTCAGGAGTCTCGAGGGAATGGCGCCACCAAAGTTAGGCTCTGTTGGGTTATCCACCTCAGCGTTTAGCCTCGGTGGATAACATCCTCCTCGATCTGCATACCTTAATTCTTCACATCCTACTCAGCCGCATTCCATAATTGCTAAAAGTATCGGCACGTCGCACTAACTTAAACGACGCACTAAAATAGTTATGGCATAAAATATGTAAAAAGTCATTTCTGCCATAAATAATGTTAATAGGCCTAGTTCGAGGCTAATTCTGTTAGTAATAACACGAATGATTGAACAAAATGTTATTGTTTTATCACGATTACGACAGCAAACAGAATAGAATGACATTTAAATATGTAGTTTAATTCCGTATAACCCAAACAAAAATTGAAAAAGCAATTTGAGCCGCTAGTTTCAACATTTCACTTCTAATAAAATACAAGATTTCCGAAAACTTTTGACGTGAAAAAGAGAGAAAAGAAATAATTCAAAAGCAACTGTTCTGTTACAGCGCGCGACAAGTATTGTTCAATTACTTTAGCACCTTCATTATACGGAAGCCTCCCTCGTTCAAGCAGTTCATTTGGTTTCAACACTTACAGTGGAACCTCGATATAACGAACAGTCCTCGTTTTAACGAACGATATTCTTCGCCCCAGTACAGTAGAACCTCGATATAACGAACCTCTATTTAACGACGCCCTCGCTATAACGAATTATATTCTTCGCCCCAGTACAGTGAAACCTCGACATAACGAACCTCTATATAACGAAAACCTCGTTATAACGAACGATATTCTTCGCCCAGTATTGTCATAGTAAAATACCGTATGTGAAAAATAACCTCGATAAAACGAAACCTCGAAACAGCGAACATATTTTCACAGTCCCTTGACCCTTCGTTAAATCGAGGTTCCACTGAACTATGTTGAGGTCTATAAGTAATGGTAACAGGACTGAGTGGAGTCCAATTCGGTCTGTAATCACACGAGTGATTAACAAAATCGGACGACCGCGTAGCGGGAGTCCGATTTGTTTAATCACGAGTATGATTACAGACCGAATTGGACGACACGAAGTTCTGTTACCAATTAATCATAACTTTAACAAAATTTGTGACATAATAGGCTATTTTTTAAATCAAAACACAAGAAATTCGAAAGTTTGTTTTGCTAGCAGTGAAAAAAAAAGCCATTTAAGCGCGCGCGTGATGGCGCGTACTGTCCAATTACTTAGGCATGACGCGTACTGTCCTATTAAACTGTCCAATTAAGGCTGAAATCAGGGCAGTTGATAGCCAATCAGATTTGACAATTTTGTTATAGTTATGATTATACATTTAATCATAACTATAACAAAATTGTCAAATCTGATTGGCTATCAACTTCCCTGATTTCAGCCTTAATTGGACAGTTTAATAGGACAGTACGCGTCATGCCTAAGTAATTGGACAGTACGCGCCATCACGCGCGCGCTTAAATGGCTTTTTTTTTCACTGCTAGCAAAACAAACTTTCGAATTTCTTGTGTTTTGATTTAAAAAATAGCCTATTATGTCACAAATTTTGTTAAAGTTATGATTAATTGGTAACAGAACTTCGTGTCGTCCAATTCGGTCTGTAATCATACTCGTGATTAAACAAATCGGACTCCCGCTACGCGGTCGTCCGATTTTGTTAATCACTCGTGTGATTACAGACCGAATTGGACTCCACTCAGTCCTGTTACCATTACTTATAGACCTCAACATAGTTCAGTGGAACCTCGATTTAACGAAGGGTCAAGGGACTGTGAAAATATGTTCGCTGTTTCGAGGTTTCGTTTTATCGAGGTTATTTTTCACATACGGTATTTTACTATGACAATACTGGGCGAAGAATATCGTTCGTTATAACGAGGTTTTCGTTATATAGAGGTTCGTTATGTCGAGGTTTCACTGTACTGGGGCGAAGAATATAATTCGTTATAGCGAGGGCGTCGTTAAATAGAGGTTCGTTATATCGAGGTTCTACTGTACTGGGGCGAAGAATATCGTTCGTTAAAACGAGGACTGTTCGTTATATCGAGGTTCCACTGTAAGTGTTGAAACCAAATGAACTGCTTGAACGAGGGAGGCTTCCGTATAATGAAGGTGCTAAAGTAATTGAACAATACTTGTCGCGCGCTGTAACAGAACAGTTGCTTTTGAATTATTTCTTTTCTCTCTTTTTCACGTCAAAAGTTTTCGGAAATCTTGTATTTTATTAGAAGTGAAATGTTGAAACTAGCGGCTCAAATTGCTTTTTCAATTTTTGTTTGGGTTATACGGAATTAAACTACATATTTAAATGTCATTCTATTCTGTTTGCTGTCGTAATCGTGATAAAACAATAACATTTTGTTCAATCATTCGTGTTATTACTAACAGAATTAGCCTCGAACTAGGCCTATTAACATTATTTATGGCAGAAATGACTTTTTACATATTTTATGCCATAACTATTTTAGTGCGTCGTTTAAGTTAGTGCGACGTGCCGATACTTTTAGCAATTATGGAATGCGGCTGAGTAGGATGTGAAGAATTAAGGTATGCAGATCGAGGAGGATGTTATCCACCGAGGCTAAACGCTGAGGTGGATAACCCAACAGAGCCTAACTTTGGTGGCGCCATTCCCTCGAGACTCCTGAGGTTTTGCGAGATACAATATAGGCATTTTAAGGAAACCTTCAAGGGGTCTAAAAACGCAATACGTATATCCTTGTTGAGCACTGTTTTAAAAGGCGTGAATTACAAAAACCATAACAATAACATGCGGAGCGTCTAGTCATTGTTTAAATAACGTTTTATAGATACAATTCATTTACGTGAACAACGCTGAAAGTTTTACAAGTCTGTCAGCTGTTATGGATTCGGAAAACGTAGTATTTCGCATTGCTGAACACCATTTTAAAAGGGGTTGGATTCTGTTCCAGGGCATTGCAACAGCTCGGTCGGTTTCTGTTTTCTACATCTTCTAAGTCCCAGATGTCAACCATGCCACAACCAGGCCTGCAGAGAGTCGCAAACACAGAATTATACGGGGAGAAAAATAGGCCACTTCCGAGTTCCCAAAACCCCCACTTTCAAAATGACGCTAGGTGCGAAAACCTTTCTTGTGAAAATGTGTTTTATTTGCATATATATGAAAAATCATTTCTATATCAAAGGTCGAGCACTTAACCTCGTTTTGATACAGAGGCCCGGGGAACTCGGAAATGGCCTATTCGCCACGTAAGAAAGGAGAAGTGAACTGAAACCGAAAGGCGTCCCGCAATTGTTTCTGGAATCGTTACTGGGGACGCGTCAGTCAGCTATTGGCCAATTGTTTCCCCCCGTCTCTAGCAAAAATCCCAGAAGTCTAGTTTCTAAAGTGGCGAACCGACCGTGAACCAACCTCGTTCCCAGGTTCTCTCTAGAGAACCCTGGGAACGAGTTTGGCCGTGAACAGAGGCAGCTACTCGAGACTTCAGGCGACTTAACACATTGATTTGTATGAAACTGCTGTCCATTGAAGCCTCAGCCTTGCGTGTAAAAAATGGAGCGAAATGCCGGAGAAGTCTTTGGGTGGATAATTTGTAAGCTAAAAATATTTATGCAAAAATTTCGCGACTATAATGAGCTACGATGAATGCATTTTGAGAAAAAGTGCGGAAAAGGGACATGGTGTTCTTACAAGGTTTCTTTTCATTTGGCTTCCTTAGTAGTGATTTCCCGAAAATTGCATTTCCAAGGCAGAACATGTTTTTATAATGCTAAAAACATACACGATTTTCCTTTGGTAATTTTGAATATATCAGCACTTGTTAAGACCTCGCCCTTTGGTATTGGAAAAAAATTTAATCATGCTTTTTGCGGTTTGATTCCAAACTGTACTCCAAATCCAGGGGCATAGCCAGCCCATACACCTGTAGACCCGGGCCTACAAATTTATTTTTTTGATCACACTACCGCTTGTAATATATTATGCGTTCTTGGGGTGAACTAGTCATGGGTGCAATTTTCAGGATATGTGGAAATAAAAGTCAGCCGGGCCTACAATTAGACGAAAAGCTGGCTACGCATCTGAAATCACGTGAGTTCAGTTTTTAGGACTGTAGGTATTAAAATACCTACAGTCGCATCGGAAAATGGGCAAATCATATCTACAACTGTTGAGGAAGAACTACTACTTACTTTGGTCTCCCCCGGCACCACTGCGTGTCAATAACCACATGAGTTACTTGCATTGAATTCAAGGTTTTCCAGACAACAGAGGGCGGTTTGCGACTAAAGATTTGGTAGACTTTGTGAGTTCTTTCCCTGCGATACGAAGAAAATTCACCATGCTTAGATCTTAACCAGAGAGGGGGAAGGGGTGGTAAAATTGGCAGTTCTTCTGTCCGAAAGAGCTTGGCCATCATGGCGTTTCGAGAGGAGACGCGCGCAACTTCGTGAAGTTTCAAGCACAAGATCATGGTCTAACTGAAGTTACAGTGTCTCAAGAATTTTTGCAACTGGTTAAGCTAGAAGAACCACGAGGAATGTTACAACTTCTGGTATTGTCTACTCCCAAAACCCTGGCCATAGTTGATCAAACCTTGAATAGCACTATCCACTGGATAAATCACTATCCAGCGGATAAGTGATAGGGAAACCAATTGCGCTATCCATTGGTTGGCGTTATCCACCCTTTGAACAACTGGGGCGAGCTCTCTTGCGTTGACCTCACCAACCTAGGAGATATGTCCAGGATTGAACGCAGTCGCACAAATTTGCCAGCCAATTTTTTTCGCAATTTTAGCAAAAAAATGATTCACAAGAAAATTTTTGTGAGACAATTACTTGCGAATAGCGCAAGCGTGCAATCCTTGTTGAATTTGTTATTCTTGATATATTTGCTATTTCTCCCATGCATTTCGGACAACGGTTTCCTTTAAATCTTTTGCCAAAATTGCGAAAACAATTTGCTAGCAAATTTTTACGACTGCGTTCAACCCTGGTCATAAGTGCCACCCCAATATGGGTAAAGTGCTATAAATCTAATTATTATATAAACTGCAGTGTTTTACAAGGATTTCTACCACCGAGAAATGTGGTATCTGAACACACGTAAAAATACGTTATTTTTACATGTGAAGATATCGATAATTTCACTGACATCAGGTTTGTCTCTTAAATTGTACTTAAATTCGTTGGTGTATCATCGAAACATCTTCGGGTCTTCCTCGAAAGTGCTCGGCAATCTTCGGCAATCTTCGGACATATTCGGAAATTTTTGGAAATTCTCAGAAAATGTTCGGGAACGTTCGTCTGGTCTTCGGGACAACTTGAAAAATCTTCGGAAATCTTCGGAAGGTGGTCGGAAATCTTCGGAAAATCATCAAAAACGCCGTCATCAGTATGTTTATATAATAAAAAGAATGTTACACGTTAGCTCGAAGATATGAATTTTATGTTCTCGTGGCAAGAGCAATATCTTACTCGTTCGCTGCGCTCACTCGTGAGATATTGTTCTTGCCACTCGAACATAAAATTCATATCTTCTCGCCACCGTGTAATATTCTCTATATCTGAATCGTACAAAGTAATATATGTTGAGACTGTACCTTATACCAACATCTTCATAATGAGGATGGTTCACTACGGCTCTTCCTGTACAGAGTTTTACGGTGGCCATTGTAGGCATGGCCCCAGCAAACACAGAGTCTAATGGAAGAAGAAAACAAAAGCGACAGCGATTGATAACGTGCTCGTAAATGTGTTCATTTTGGGGATTTTCTAGTCCTTGCAAGCGAAGTCATTTGGTAATGCAATGTATTGCAATTCATTTCAATCTAATGTAATGTAATGTAATGTGGCGAATGAGAGTACAACAGCACGAGTCCTCTTTACGTTGTTTATTCATAAAAAGGGGATATTCCAAGCTATTTACTATCTTTTTACAAAGCTAATACGCGTCTTTGCATCGATTGGCCCTTTGCAGAATACGGTCACATGGTACAAGAAACACCTTGCTGGATGGCAAACAACGCTGAGGGTCAAGAAAAACAAAGAGATTACATCATTCAAAAAGCTAAAATAATTTCTTTTCAAGTTCCCATTGCATCGTTTCTTTGCCATCCAACAAGGTCTTTTTTGTACCATGTGACCATATTCTGTAAAGGGCCCACTGAATTCCCGAAAAAAAATGGTTCTGTTTTGTTATTTCAGGTTATATTTTAGACATTGAAACTGTTTCCTGTCGTCTGTTGCAAAGAATGGACGTAGATTGAAACTTAAAAAAGTTGGGCCAACTTTTTCAAGTTAAATACTACGTCTTCAAATATCACCAAAAGAATTCAGATTATTTAGTGCTCTGTGATGAAAGTTGTTCGATATCTTCAGAACACAATAATGACTTCGGCNTACGCAATACCAGATACTTTCATTTTTCAAGCTTGCAGACTGTTTGATTAGTCAAATCTGTATTGTTGGAAGAAACATTATAAGCTCTGTCCTTAATGCTTAATGTTTTGAAACTTGAACGAAAACTTCTTTAACATGAAGTCCCGCATCTGTTGCGATTACAGAACAACTATATTAAGTAATTCATTTTTTCATGCTACAATGCTACTTTCTATATACCAGGAAAAATTTTTCAAGTAAGACGGATTCGGATTCGAACCAAAATTAAGTCGGATCGACGGATCGGGCCTAAAAATACCACGGATCGGCGGATTTGCATACCCCTATTCACCCTCCTCTAAATAATGACTAGACGCTCCGCATGTCATTGTTATGGTTTTTGTAATTCACAGACAGAGGATCCGACGCCTTTTAAAACAGTGCTCAGCAAGGATATACGTATTGCGTTTTTAGACCCCTTGAAGGTTTCCTTAAAATGCCTATATTGTATCTCGAGGGAATGGCGCCACCAAAGTTAGGCACTGTTGGGTTATCCACCTCAGCGTTTAGCCTCGGTGGATAACATCCTCCTCGATCTGCATACCTTAATTATTCACATCTTACTCAGCCGCATTCCATAATTGCTAAAAGTATCGGCACGACGCACTAACTTAAACGACGCACTAAAATAGTTACGGCATAAAATATATAAAAAGTCATTTCTGCCATAAATAATGTTAATAGGCCTAGTTCAAGGCCAATTCTGTTAGTAATAACACGAATGATTGAACAAAATGTTATTGCTTTATCACGATTACGACAGCAAACAGAATAACTCAAACAAAAATTGAAAAAGCAATTTGAGCCGCTAGTTTCAACATTTCAGTTCTAATAAAATACAAGATTTCCGAAAACTTTTGACCTGAAATAGAGAGAAAAGAAATAATTCAAAAGCAACTGTTCTGTTACAGCGCGCGACTAGTGACAAATATTGTTCAATTACTTAAGCACCTTCATTATACGGAAGCCTCCCTCGTTCAAGCAGTTCATTTGGTTTCAACACTTGCAGTGGAACCTCGATATAACGAACCTCTATATAACGAAGTCCTCGTTGTAACGAGCGATATTCTTCGCCCCAGTCAATGGAACCTCGATATAACGAACCTCTATTTAACGAAGCCCTCGTTATAACGAACGATATTCTTCGCCCCAGTACAGTAGAACCTCGATATAACGAACCTCTATTTAACGAAGCCCTCGTTATAACGAATGGTATTCTTCGCCCCAGTACCGTGGAACCTCGATATAACGAACGCTATTCTTCGCCTCAGTACAGTGAAACCTCGACATAACGAAGCTCTATATAACGAAAACTTCGTTATAACGAACGATATTCTTCGCCCAGTATTGTCATAGTAAAATACCGTATATGAAAAAGAACCTCGATAAAACGAAACCTCGAAATGGCGAACAAATTTTCACAGTCCCTTGACCCTTCGTTAAATCGAGGTTCCACTGAACTATGTTGAGGTCTATAATACATTTAATCATACGAGTGATTAACAAAATCGGACGACCGCGTAGCGGGAGTCCGATTTGTTTAATCACGAGTATGATTACAGACCGAATTTGACGACAAGAAGTTCTGTTACCAATTAATCATAACTTTAACAAAATTTGTGATATATTAGGCTCATTTTTTTTAATCAGAACACAAGAAACTCCGAGATTTTTTTTGCTAGCAGTGAAAAAAAAGCCATTTAAGCGCGCGCGTGATGGCGCGTACTGTCCAATTACTTAGGCATGACGCGTACTGTCCTATTTAACTGTCCTATTAAGGCTGAAATCAGGGCAGTTGATAGCCAATCAGATTTAAGAATTTTGTTATAGTTATGATTACAGACCGAATTGGACTCCACTCAGTCCTGTTACCATTACTAATTAGCGCAAAGCTCAAGAGCTTCCTTTCCCGCCTTATTAATAACGATATATCTGTATCAGCCTTTAACTCTTTACAGAGAAACTACACTAAATATCACTATCGCGTATTTATGACCTGAATTCGTTAACCTCACGCATCACACGGCGAAGAACAAACCATGAAACGTAGAAAAAGACAAGAAATATATGTCCTCCAGTGCAATTTGGGCAGTTTAACCCTTTAAACCCTAAGATCAAAATTAAAATTCTCATTTGTCGCCCCTACTCATTTCCTACAGAAATAGTGGGGAGAAGTTGGTGAGATATCGACCAAATTCATCTTGTGTGATCATGTCCGNGCGTGATGGCGCGTACTGTCCAATTACTTAGGCATGACGCGTACTGTCCTATTTAACTGTCCTATTAAGGCTGAAATCAGGGCAGTTGATAGCCAATCAGATTTAAGAATTTTGTTATAGTTATGATTACAGACCGAATTGGACTCCACTCAGTCCTGTTACCATTACTAATTAGCGCAAAGCTCAAGAGCTTCCTTTCCCGCCTTATTAATAACGATATATCTGTATCAGCCTTTAACTCTTTACAGAGAAACTACACTAAATATCACTATCGCGTATTTATGACCTGAATTCGTTAACCTCACGCATCACACGGCGAAGAACAAACCATGAAACGTAGAAAAAGACAAGAAATATATGTCCTCCAGTGCAATTTGGGCAGTTTAACCCTTTAAACCCTAAGATCAAAATTAAAATTCTCATTTGTCGCCCCTACTCATTTCCTACAGAAATAGTGGGGAGAAGTTGGTGAGATATCGACCAAATTCATCTTGTGTGATCATGTCCGTAAATCTCATAACCACTCTGTTTTATAAAGCATTGATATTACAAGGAGAAATTTGATGCTGATCACTCTTAGGGCTTAAAGGGTTAAGAATTGTGACGAAAAAGGTGCAAAATTTTACAAAATGGCAAGTTGTGTTTCATTACTTCAAGCAGTGTTAAATATCACATCATTGGCGAACATTGAATGTTAAACTCACTAGCAAGCTTTTCAACAGTTTTTACATTGCTCCATTCCACCTTACGCCCTTGTTTAATCTCAAGACCAACTTGGTCATAATGACGTTTCAGTACCTCCAAACATGTATTGGCATAGTTACCTGTACACGGTGTTTCGTCTACAGATTTAATGAACTGAAGATCGTGGTTGAAAAGAACAAAATTATCGCTAAGTGAAACTGAACGATTGGAGCATATATCCAAGTTATTTCCTGCCGCTTTGTGTGACAAGCAGTAGCTTACAATAACGTTTGAAGAAAGAAATGGGGCGTATGGTACGTGAAAAGTTGTTTGAGGCTCCGACAGAATAGTTTCTACATGTTCTGGTCTAACAGTATGACTGGTTGGAAACTTCTTATTATATTCCGCCAGGTCATCACAGATCTCGAAATTCCAGTCGTAGCGGTCTCTCTCAAAGTACCACGCATAACTCAGCACAACGCAGACTGGAGAGTGCGGGACGTGGATTAACTTCTTGAAGACCTCATCAAAGTTACGCGTGTTAAATTTTCTCAGTATATACTCTCTGCAGTGAGTGAAGGTGTCCCGATATATGTATACAGGAAAGAAGGACATAAAATTAGCAACCATTGGAAACCCAAGGGCCAGTTCCAATGTGTGTGCCCAAGACTTTATCCATTTCCTACCCAATTGACAACCTGTTCCTAAAGTTCTTAACTTTGTGCCATTAAAAATGGAAGATTTCGTTACTGGAGTTATGAAAGCAGCGTCATTATCCATCCAGGCAATAATGCTGTCATTTGAATACAGGTCGATAAAATAACTGCTCCAGAGCTGCCTGTTGTAACCGGGTTTTCTGTGGATCCCTGGAAAATCCAATGTACTTTTGTCTTTTGGAAGAGCCTCATATAAGACTTCAAGCTTGCGATCAGGAAAGTATCTTTTGGTCTGATCCATTATTTTATCGCCAAATTTATGATCCTCTTCGGTTTCTTCGTCAAGTACCAAGACTATTTTTCCGTACGAAGAAGGCCAGTAAAGAACAGTAGTCCTGAACAGATCACAGTAATATCGTTGCCTGTGATCTGGCAATTTACCAGACATCCTGACAAATAGACTTAATGAGGTATCTACGGCTTCTTTGGCGGCCGCTTTGGTTGTTCCGATTCCTGCGCTGGATGGGCTGCTGTCCATCTCTGAGATCTGGGGTCGCAGTGATCTTAAAGTTCTCTCTTTTGGAACAACATGAATTACGAAAATCCCTATGGCTAGGAGTGTTGAAACGAAACAGGTGATATGAACGTCTCTACGTTTACATTTCCTTCTCAAAATCATCGTTTGTTCGCACAGAAGTCTTCTTCTGGACACCTGTTTAAGAGAAAAGATCGACAAACTGTAATTAAAACAAAAAAGTCTGCTCTAGCTTTAGACCACGTAGCCTGCGAACAACAGACGCATTTCCGGTCGTCGCTTCCTTCCCTCCGAAAAATAGCTATATTTTTCGGAGGGAGAGAAGCGACGACCGTAAATGCGCCTGTATATCCCGTTGAATGCGAAAACTTTGAAAACCATATACGTGGTTGAAGGGCACGGGAAGACAACGTATTAAAGTCACAACAGCTATATAAACCATACATTATACTACTCGAATTGCGGGCGTTTAGCTCGAAAGTCGATTCGGCCGAAGGCGTTCGCTAGGGCTTAATGTATCGGTCAAATCGAAGCTTCAACATGCCCCCCCGGGCAACCCCCCGGGCATTTGACTTTTTTGAAAATTATCGTTCAAATTCCCCCCTACCCGGGCCAAAATGCCGTTCAAATGCCCCACACTGGGGTCGATTCAGGTGATCAAATGCCCCCACCCCAGGGACATTTCACAGGCACAAAAATGACAGAAGGACGGCGGAAATACCTTCAGTTGTCGAACAAAATATTTATAAATATAACAAAAACTGAGAAACACTGTTAGCGTATTTACTACGAACAAAAGTCTCGTGCAAAACGGCGGAAATCGCTGCTACAGGGTCACTGAATGCTCAGCTTTTCTTCGTCATGCAACATACAAAGCGTTCTATAAAAAAGATCCCACCTATTGAGATTACTACATCATGACCATTTCACTGACATGCATCATCGTTCACCTTATTAATTAACATACTTG